TACATATATATAAATAGTACACACACACACACATTTATTTTTTTAAATGCATTTAATACACAACCTGTTACAGTCTGGATGTCGATGTGTCTGTCTCTCTCTCTCTCTCTCTCTCTCTCTCTCTCTCTTTCAGAATTGAACCCAGGGGTGCTTTACCAATGAGCTACTTCCCCAGTCCTTTTTTATTTTGTAAAAGGATTTCACTAAGTTGCTGAGGCTGGCCTTGAATTTGTAATCCTTCTGCCTCAGCCTCCCAAATTGCTGGAAATACAGATATGCACAACCATACCAGGCAAATCCCTCTTTCTTTAAGTTGATTTTCTCAGGTATTTTGTTAACAATAGAAAGCCAAGTTAACATATCTACTGACCATCATAGGCTAGCAACACAAGATGCTTTAGATTATCAGTTGTTTACCCTTGTGTTTGGGTGGCTGATGGGAAGCTATGGCTTGGTGCCATTCCAGCATCTTGAGAGAGTATTATACTGTCCATCACTAGCCTGGGAAAATAAAAATTCAAATTTGCAGTATGTTTCTACTGAATACATATCAATTTTGTACCGACATAAATTTGAAAAAAGTTAAGTCAGAGATTGTCTGTATTTTACTCAGTTCTCTCCTTTGCATGATTTCTGAAGAGAAGTCTAATAATGTGATTTTTTTTTCCCCCAGTACTGGGAACTGAACCCAGGGGAACATTACCACTGAGCTATTATTTTTTCTGGTGTTCTCATATTTGTATTACATCTTTTGTAATTGTCCATGGTTCTTGGATGCTGTTTTTGTTTCATTTGCTTTTCTCTCTGCTTTTTTAGTTAGGGAAGGTTTTTTTTTGGCGTATCTTCAAGTTCAGTGAGGTTGGTGTTGGCCATATCTATTCTACTGATGAGCCCATCAAAGGATTCTTCAATTCTGTTTGTATAGCGTTTTTTTATTTCTAACCTTTCCTTTTTGTACTAGAGTTCCTATCTCTGCTTACATCACTCATCTGTTCTTACATGTTGTCTTTTTTTTCCATCAGAGCCCCTAACATATTCATGGTTATTTAAAATTTCGAGTCTGATAATTCCAAAATCTCTTGTCATGTCTGAATCTGGTTCCGATGGCTTGCTTTGTCTCTGTAGACTCCAGTTTTTCTTTTCTCATGCCTTGTAATTTTTTGTTAACAGCTGAACAAGTTGTGTTGGGTAAAAGAAACAGGTAAACTAAGGCAGTATGAGGTTTTATGATTATCTGGCAGTTAAACTAGCATTTAAAATAGATTCTCCTCTTCTGTTGGTGGGTGGGATCTGCTTAAGCTGGAAGCTGCTGTAGCTGGGAAAGGCCATTTAGTGTTATCAGCTAATCACAACAGGGGATACCTGCCGGCATCAGTTCTGAGGGTGCAGCTGACAAAGCTGGATTCTTCTCCACTACTACTGAGTGGTGTGTTACAGCTCTTAATGGCAGGCTATGCCCACCAGTGTCACAGCAGACCCCAGAAGTTCACCACCAATTTATTCTTTCCGGATTCTTGTCTCACAATTTCAAAGAAAGAAACCCATAGAGGGAAAACTGAATGTAAAGGAGCAGGATTTATTCAAGTGGAAAGAAAAGAGACAGAGCTCTTTCAGGGTAAGATAGGGGTTGCTGCTTGAGTTTGCTGTCTAGGGGTTTATGTAGCTCATGGGTCAACACTATTGGTTCAAATTTATGCTAATCAGGTCTTAATCATCAGAGATATTGTTCAGTCCTTAAGTAACTTTCCTGCAATTTCCATTTGGGTCTGCCACCATTTCCATTTTCCCACTCCCCATGGGGACTGGCAAGGCCCCCACACAGGGTGATAGTTTGCAGGCCCTGGCTTGCTGTGCCTCAGGCCCACACTGGCATGGTGGGCTCCATGCTTGCCACCCATGTTCTAGTCTGCCAGAGCCTTTGTTTTTCCCTGAAGAAAGGCTTGGATTCTGTAGTTACTACGTGTTAAGAGGCTAAAATTCTCTCTAGTGTCCTTGTTTTTGTCTACTTTGGGGTTTCCCTAGGGATAAGTGTTAAGAGGCTAAAATTCTCTCTAGTGTTCTTGTTTTTGTCTACTTTGGGGTTTCCCTAGGGATTCCTCCCTGCCCCCCCATGCTGGGGACTGAACCCAGGCCTCACACATCAGGCAAACACTCTACCACGAAGCCACATGCCCAACTTCAAGATTCCTTCTTGGGATCCGAGGCTTGCAATAAGGTGTGATATGTGATATAAGGAGGTGGGTAATACCTTACACCTCTCCTACTGATAAGGTTGGTGATAAGGTGTGGAAGAAAGGGATGTGTTCTGTAGTTCTGTGTTTAGGTCTCAGTCTTTGAGTCACCCTGTGTACCTATGACCTTCTCAGCTTTTCTTTTTCCCCCATTCTCTTGGTGAGAAGTTTATATGGACTGAGTTGGGTATTTCCCTTCTCTCATGTGGAAGGGTTGAGGGGGCTGGAGTTGGGCACTTGATTTTCTCCAGGTCAGTTGGACTGGTAAAAATTCCCTTGAGTTCTGGCTTTGGTAAAGAAGAATAGAATAGTTGGGCATTTTTCTTTTTCTTTTCTTTTCCATACTGGGGATTGAACCAGGGGCACTCTACCCTGAGCTGCATCCTCAGCCCTTATTAAAAATTTTAAATTTTGAGACAAGGTCTTGCTAAGTTGCCAAGGTTGGTCTTAAAAGTGCAATTCTCGGGCTGGGGATGTGGCTCAAGCTGTAACGCACTCACCCGACATGCGTGCGGCCCGGGTTCGATCCTCAGCACCACATACAAACAAAGATGTTGTGTCCGCCGAAAACTAAAAAATAAATATTAAAATTCTCTCTCTCTTAAAAAAAAAAAAGTGCAATTCTCCTGCTGTAGCCTCCTAAGTCACTGGGATTACAAGTGTGCAACATTGCACCCAGCTTAAGTTTTAAAATTCTAAAACAATATTAATGTTAAATATATGAAGTATATTCTATACAGCAGAGTCCATAATATAACCCCTAGAAACTTTTGTTATATTCAATGTGATCCTTATTACGTTCTGCTTTTTTTGTTTTCAAAAGGAATTGAATTTGAACAGTAAAATACATGTTAAACATTGTAGAATATTCTCTAGAATCATTTCTAAAACAATTATGTAAAACCTTTATAAAATTATTTCTTCTATATGTTTCCAACTTTAATTAATTATTGAAAACTCAAATACCACCAGCCAGGTGCAGTGGCACATGCCTGTAATCCTGGTGGCTTGGAGGCTGAGTCAAGAGGATCATGAGTTCAAAGCTAGACTCAGAAACTTAGCAAGACCCTGTTTCTAAATAAAATATAAAAGGGCTGGGATGTGGCTCAGTGGTTAAGCGCCCCTGGATTCAATCCTCAGTATCAAAAGAAAAAAAAATGCTATCAAACACAGAAAACTCTTGACAATTAAACTATGACATTCCATCGGCTATAAGATGCATTATAGTGTAAGCTCTGATGGAATAAGATGTGAAGAAATGAATCCATGTAATAACTACAATTTACCTCTGTTTTAAAAAAAAGAAATATGTAAGTTCTGTGAAAAATTACTAAATCTAATCTTCAGCTTTGCTTTTGGCAAATGATCATTTAAATACTTGAGGAAAGTAAGAGTCAGAGCTAAGAAAGTAATTATACTTTTAGAAATATCTTTATTTAGAATTCTCCTAAAGTTTATATCAGTAAATTTCTCTTATAACAGCTCAAATACCTACTAGGAGAAGGAAGTCTTGAGGTAAAACAGACCACTTACACTTTGTTATTAAAGAAACAAAACCCAGCCCCCCACCCATACAGAGTTCATGCTAGAATACCATTTCATAAACAATGACTCATCCAATGAATAGCAATATTAGAATGTTTAAGTCCAGTTAACTTCAAAGCACAAACATGTATACTTAGATTTAGCTGATTCTCAGAGTTATAGCTTAAATAAGACGACGGCAACAACAAAATGTTAAATTAAGTGGAAAGCAAATATCTACAGACCATTTCCTGGGAAAGGAGTTTTGATGAGCTTTCATAGCTTACATAAGCTTCAATAAGCATCAATACACAGTCCACATTACTTGCTTTAGTTTGTTTGGGCCTACTAATTGATCCAAGACTTCTCGTGAAAGATCTATAAAAGAAAATAATAATAGTGTATTAATTCACATAGTCAAAGATATTTAATGTTTCCTCGTGTATAAATTGAGGATGATGATAATTATTGTACCTCTTAGGATTAGTTAAAAGATTTATTTAAATAAGATGATATATGAAGCATAGTATACAACTGAATAAGTCAGTAATTAATGGTAGCCCTATTATTAGGACTGGGGATGTGGTTAAGTGCTTCTGGGTTTAATCCTTGTACCAAAAAAAAAAAAAAAAAAAAAAAAAGACAAAAACAAAAAATGATGGAAACCTTTGTTCTCCCAATGATAATAACTTCCCATTTCTATACACTCTCTGGTTCTTTTCTTTTTTGGTGGTGATATTAGGGATAGAACCTGGGGGCATCCTACCACTAAGCCACAACCCCAATCACCACCACCACCACCCTTTTTTTTTTTCCATTTTGAGATGTGGTCTCACTAAATTGCCAAGGCTAGCCTCAAACTTGCAATCCTCCTGCCTTAGCTTCCACAATAGCTGGGATTATATGCATGTGCCACTACATCTGGATGCTAAGAGCCAAGTATATGATGCATGGCATTTTTGGTGGAAAGGTGACGCCAGCTAGCCATTGAGATGATATGATTATGTTAAGATTTGCATTCATATGGATATTGGACTCCTGCTGTTCACCTCAGCCGGCTACGGGACTCCTGGAGAGTTCCCATTGGTTGGGGAAGTACAGTAGGAGGGAGTTCCAGGGGAGGAGCTCGCTCTCTGCGGTCCGAGAGGAGGCCGCGTGGGTGGAAAAAATCTTCCCGGGTGCGTACCGGACATTGGCGGCAGTTTCAAAAAATAATAAAGTTTGTTCCTGCTTGAGTGGCTCGTGATTTTGTGCCCAGCCAGACTGCGGCAACTGGCGGCCCGCACGGGGAACGCCTGAAGCTTGGAGGTGAGTAAAATTGCTCGCCCCTGAGGGAAGGCAACAAAATGGGTGACCATTTCAAAAAACAATGTGTTCTCGTTTTGATTTATCTTGTTTTTGTTTCAAGCTGCCTATCCCTAGAATTTTCTCAGGCAAACTGGGAAAAATGGTTGGCTCAAGGTTTGAAGTTGTCCGGCCCTGAGAAAGAGAAAATTGATACAACTATTCTTTGTTCGGTTTTTGTTTCATTCTGTTTCGGTTTTGTTTTATGCTATCTTATTGGGTTGCGTTACCTTTATAGTAGATTAGAAACTAGTAAAAAACAAACCGAAAGACTGTTAAGTAAATTGTTAGAGGTCCAGACTATGGTAGAAAACATGTTAGGTCAAGCGAAAGAGAAGGTCTCTCAAGCTAGTCAGACAGAGGAAGATTTGAAGAAAGAAAGCTTAGAAGAAAAACAACCATCAGGCGGGGAATTACAACAGGAGGCTGCTACTAACCCCGTTCTATCACCAGAGGGCGTAATTCAACCAATAGCGGCCCTCAACTCCCATAGTTGATGGACGGAATCCTGAGGTAGGACCCCAAAGATTAGCATGCCCTGTACTTGAGCAGGCAGGAGGGCAACGAATTCACCGTGCTTTAGATTTCAAAACAGTGAAGCAATTAAAGGAGGCTGTAACAACCTACGGGCCACAAGCACCCTTCACTGTGAGCATGGTTGAATCCATTACCAACTTAGACATGACGCCAGCAGATTGGGCTAACATGTGTCGATCTGTGCTAAATGGAGGACAATATTTGTTATGGAAGGTTGCCAATGAGGAATTCTGCATGGAGACAGCTAGGCGAAATGCAGCAGCCGGTTACCCTCAAAGAAATCTAGATATGTTATTAGGAAAAGGACCTTATGAGGGTCAACGGCAACAAATTGAATATGATCCTGGCGTATACGCACAAATTGCTGTAGATGCAATTAAGGCAAGGAAAACTTTACAGGGGCATGGAGATTTACAAGGACAATTATCTAAGGTAATACAAGGAGCTAATGAACCTTACGCTGAATTTGTAGATAGGCTTATTCAGACAGCATCTAGAGTATTTGGAGATACAGAACAGGCAATGCCATTTATAAAACAACTGGCTTATGACCAAGCAAATCGTTGCTGCAGAGAGGTCATCAGACCATGGAAACATGAAGATTTAAACACATATATTAAATTATGTAGAGACATTAATGAACAAGGGCAAGTCTTAGCAGCAGTACAACAGGCTTTAGATGCCAGGCCAAAAACATGCTATAATTGTGATCAAACAGGACATTTTAAAAGGAGTTGCCCCATAGGAGGAGGGTTTAACAAGGCTAGGTATCAAAGGAATAGAATACCGGGTATTTGCCCACGATGCCGTAGAGGGAAACATTGGGCTAATGAATGCCGTTCTCAAACCACCATAGAAGGTATTCCGTTATCAAAAAACAGACGATATCGTGTTTACCCACGATATCGTGGAGAAAGACATCAGGCTCCATTGCCAAAAAACGGACTGGAGGGCCCAATGCTCCGGGGCCCAAAACCACAAATATACGGGGCAATGGAGGAACCCAGCAGCACCATCAAGGTAGTGCCCAGGACACATTATCCATTAAATCCCTCATCAGACAAACTAGAGGGAGCGCAGGGTTGGACATCTGCGCCTCTGCCAGAGCAGTACTAACTCCAGAGATGGGAGTTCAAATCATTCCCACAGGAGTAAAAGGACCTCTTCCCCAAGGAACAGTAGGCTTATTATTGGGACGCAGTTCTTCAACACTAAAAGGACTTATGATAAGTCCTGGGGTAATTGATCCCGATTATGAGGGTGAAATAAAAATTATAGCTAGTTCTCCAAGAGGTATATCAGTAATTTCACCAGGAGATAGAATAGCACAGTTATTAATAATACCCAGCCTACATGATAAATTTTCCAGTCGTACTGTAGAAAGAGGTTCCAAGGGATTAGGATCCACAGGTGTAGATTGGGCTATGCTGTCTTTAAATCTAGATTCTCGCCCCATGCTAAAACTAAATATTCAAGGACATGACTTTATTGGGCTACTGGACACAGGTGCTGACCTTAGCATAATATCTCGTCAAGAATGGCCAAAACACTGGCCATTACAACAAGCCACTCAAACGCTTCGAGGCCTAGGAGTGGCAACTAATCCCCATAGAAGTGCAATGGTATTAGATTGGAAGGATCCTGAAGGATGTGAAGGAACTATACAGCCCTATGTATTGGATCATCTTCCTATAAATTTATGGGGACGAGATGTCCTAGATCAATTAGGTTTGACATTAACAAATAACATCAATCCTAATGCGCCCACTACTAGGGCTAGACAAGGCTTTAGGAAAGAAGAAAGATTAAGAGAACAAGAACAAGGTATGACAGCACCAATTCAAATAGATCAAGAAACAAATAGACATGGATTGGGTTTTCAGAAAGGGCCACTGAGACAATCAAAATTACTTGGAAATCAGAAAGACCAGTGTGGGTTCCTCAGTGGCCCCTGACTAAAGAAAAGATACAAATAGCCCATGACCTGGTCAAACAACAATTAGCGGAGGGACATATACAACCTTCCGTATCTCCCCATAATACTCCCATTTTTGTCATTAAAAAGAAATCTGGTAAATGGAGATTATTACAAGATTTAAGAGCCATTAATAATGAGATGGCTATTATGGGACCTGCTCAATCAGGGATTCCCCAATTGTCTGCTTTACCAAAAACCTGGTATGTTTTAGCTATAGATATTAAAGATTGTTTTTTTTCAATTCCAATTCATCCCGAGGATAGTCCACATTTTGCATTTACTATCCCTGCACTAAATCATGAAGGTCCTGATCAGAGATATGAATGGAAAGTACTCCCTCAAGGGATGGCTAATAGTCCAACTATGTGTCAAATTTATGTTAACAAAGCAATCCAGCCACTTAGAAATCAAAATCCTGAACTACAAATATTTCACTATATGGATGATGTGTTATTAGCACATAAAGATAAAAACACATTGCTAGAATGTTATGCCACACTTACAAATTTATTAAAAAATTATAATCTAGAGATAGCAATAGATAAAGTACAATTAAATCTTCCAATTAATTATTTAGGGGTTTTATTATCCTCAACCATGGTTCGTCCACCCAAAATTCAAATACGAGTAGATCAACTCAAATCACTTAACGACTTTCAAAAGTTATTAGGAGACATAAATTGGATAAGGCCTTATCTAGGCATACCAACAGGAGAGTTGGGACCTTTATTTGATATTCTAAAAGGTCCATCAGATCCAAATTCACCCCGCATGTTGACACCTAAAGCAAGAAAGGCATTAAAAATCATTGAAACATATATGGAAAATATGCATTTGGATAGAATTGATATAAGTTTGCCTTTATTATTTATTGTACTGCCAACAAAAAATATTCCTACAGGAGTGTTCTGGCAAGAAGGTCCATTATTGTGGATACATTTATCTTATTCTCCTAACACTATTCTTACTAGATATCCTGAGGCTGTAGGACAATTAATACTCAAAGGAATAAAAGCAGCCAAGGGAGTGTTTGGGATTTCTCCCAATAAAATTATTACTCCATATACTATGGATCAAATTGATGAGTTAGCTAATGAGTTAAATACTTGGGCAATAATCATGTGTAAATCTAATGTTTCATTTGATAATCACTTACCGTCTAATCCTTTGTTGTCTTTTTGGTCTAAACATCCTGTAGTTTTTCCAAAGATGACAAAAAAAAAAAAAACCCTATCATGAATGCTCCAAATATATTCACTGATGGGTCAAATAATGGTACAGCAGCAGTAGTTACCCCTGATCAAACTTTTACATTTTTAGTACCCAAACAATCAGCTCACAAGGTAGAGCTTAATGCAGTATTACAAGCTTTTATGATCTTTAAAGATTCTGTATTTAATTTATTTTCTGATAGTCAGTATGTAGTTAATACTACAGTATCTCTGAAGATGCTGGTAGGATTTCCCCTTCTTCTACTGTTTTCTCTTTGTTTTCCACTATACAAAGTCTAATCTGGGAC